ATGAGCAACGAATCAGTAAAATCAATATTCTAAACAAAGAGTAAGTTAGGAATGGGTTTTCAAAGTCAGCCTTCTGCAATGCACTCTGACTCCATATCGCGAAGCAGACCACGTCATATGTTAGGGAATCCCCAGCGGAAGGGGTAGGGAGTCGTATTTGGTCGCCCCCTCCCGCCGCTCGACAGCAAAATTTAGGGAACAACTAGAAAACTCTAGGGGAATTCCGGAAAAACTGGAAAAAGTGGTAGGAGTTGGGGAAATCTAGGAAAGTGTTAGGTAGGATGGGGAAGGGGGAGGTCGTATCAGAGAAGAGACTTAGGGAGGGTCGTATCGAAACTTTCCCCAGCGAGAGGACGTGCCCTGAGGCGAGTGACAAGGAAAGATGGAAAAGAGCGTTCCGATTTCCGGGATCGGTATTTCAGTTTTCGACTGGAGCAACGTTACCATGAAGGAAATCCTAGACCAGTGAATTTGACTTATGCTGGCTTCCCATTTATCAGATTTAGAGAATTTGAAGGTTCCGCACGCTCAACCATTGCCGATTTCCGACTTCCGAGCAGCATAAAGCGAGATTTTTTACCGTTTCAATGCTGGCAGAGGCGGCGCAGCAGCAAAATGCGATAATGTCACTCGAACGGTAGGTAAATCGAGCCGCACCTGGACGCCTACCGCCTTCCGGATTTGGTAAACTTCTCTGGGAGGATAAAGTGCTGGTTTCAACATTGGTCAATGGAATAAGCTTTTTACTGCTGACGTTTCGCGACTAAACCCCTCTTTTGGAAATGGGAACTTCTGCGAATACAAGATACAAGTGTGATATTTATATTAACACGCTCAGACGTACAATCATGGTAGTGTCATATCAGTTTCTCCGCCAGCGCATGTATTCACTATGGTTTATCAACGTTTCCGTTATAAAAACTATTTATTTTCCACGATTTTCCACGTCATATCAAAGGGCATTTTTCCGTCCACATCAAAGTGAAGTCGAGAGGGGGAGGGGGACGGCCGTATTCCAGAATGATATCTCAGATAAGTATGAGAGAGCATTACTGCAAGTTCGAATACAGGAATAAGAACTTCGATCTCCACACGCCCTATCAAACGAGCAGAAACTTTCGATTCGTTGTCTGCAGTAAACGAGCGACGCTATTGCCTTAACCAGACAATGCCAAGAGTTTTCCATGTCATTTCCCTTTCCCCACATATTTTGGAGCCATTCATTAAGCGCTCTAGTGGCAAGGATGACAACATGCATGTGCTTATGAAATCGGATACGTAGCCATAATCTCCTCGGTTAGCCGAGTGACTCAAGCTGGGCTCACCTCCAAATCCGGTTGCACCATTGTATCGGATGATTTGTTTGTCCTGACGACGCCAGACCACCGTTGGCGTCGGATTGCCTTCCGCTTTGCACGTTAACGTCACATTATGTCCTTCGCGGACTTCGACAGCTGATGGGGTACCGCGTGACACTGCTGGGGGCACTGGAACAGAAAAAAAACTCGAATTGTATCATTGCATAGATCACTAAATGCTAACAAAATAAGTTTTGCGAAACTATGGCATTGTATAAAAGTGCATTGGAAAGGGAACGTTCAAAGAAAAATGGCGCTATTGGCTTAAGAGGGGCATGTTGCTAGTTCCTTTTGCCAGTACATGTAAGGAAACAGGTCTCATTTTGTGATACCTGCAAACTCCTTTGAAATAATACAAGCGAACCACTTTGGTTACAAAAATCTGCAGGACTTCACAATGTGGCCTGTACCCGTTTCATTGAGTACCATTTATTGCCCCCACCAAGCCGGACTGCGGCAAAATTTTTTTTCATGAAAACACTTTTGTCTGTCCAATTTTACTATTGATTAGTTCAATTTGATTGATGCCATATTATGATACTTTTATTGGGACAATTTTTTTCCAGTGGGGAGGTCTCAATACGCAAGTTTTTCGAGAATTTCCAAACAATTCGCGTACAACCAGCCGAGTTTCGCGTTTAAACCCAAGCACATTGGCCCACATCCTTATTCACAGTCCGGAATGGTTCCTAAATCTCGAGAAAATCCACTTTAAGGGGATTTCAGGTTTTTATGGGTCACCCTTGCGGACTGGCAGAAGAGCTCGAAATGTCCCGAAGAGGGGTGTAGGTCAGGAGATCCGAGTTGCGACAACTAAAATCCAGTTCGAGGGAAGTGGTACAGTCTTGTTCAGTGCGGACGCCGCGCCAAACCCAACACCCACCCCCTCCTGGCACTTTAGAGCATCCGCAGTGAACAAGACTATAATTGCCAACTGATCGACATACTGTATTCGGCTTGCTGTAGCACCCTTGCATTGAATCGGTTAGGCGTTGGCGCGAGTTTCGCGCGTACAATGTTGCAAATGACGCCGCTTTCCCGCTCCAACGTAACTCATAGTTTCCTATCCCCACCAAAGTCATCTAGAGTCAGTCATTGTGATAGAATATCACATTTTTTGAGGAGAACAGCTAGGCGCCGATAACCTGGGCGCCCAGCTGTTCTCCTCAAAAAAAGGGGTGGGGAGGGGAACGTAAAGGACTTGGGCAAGGATAGGATAGAACTGGGTGTCAAAGTAGTCCAACCACTCCGGAGCTCTTTCCACCTTTAGGGCTAGCATTGAGTGAAAGTCTTCACCTCCATTACGGTTCTTCCAGTTCAGCAGAGTCCCCCATACGCTTCCTGCCTTGAAGGCTGTCAGCACCCCTAGTAGTTGTAAGTAGCGCAGAAGTTCCCCATCAAAACTTTCTGTCGACTGGCTAGAAATCTGAGATCGGAACGGAGCCCCCGAATTCTTGGCGTTACCGCTCCGGGCCTCTAGGGAGAGACGAACGCGCTGATCAGCAGTCTTTTGAAGCCTGAATGTTCCTGATTGCCCGTCTTCGCAACTCGGCCGTATTTCACCAACAGCTGGTGCTTAACTTCAGGGTCATCGCGCTTTACCCCTACAGAACCACGTTGCGCGGTATTTGACGATGGTGATCCAAGGCAAGCCGCTCCCGCAAGAGCCGCTTGACCCCTAATTACGGGTTCTTGGGCGATAATTAGCCACCCACAAACGCAACAGGTGATGGAAACACCTTAAGCAGTGTGTAATCGTTTCCCGTTAAGGTGCGTTAACACACTTGTAATTACTTGAACTGCGGATGTAATTTAAAGGACCTATTGTGAACCCGGAGGTTCTAAACCGCTCATTGATCGATGATCCATCGGTTCGAGCAGGCATTTGCAGCCATCGAGAGAGTGGAACTTCCTGAAACGTTCGCATTTGAGTTGGGCGTTACTGCCAGGGTCTAGGATGCGCCGTGAATCTGCATTTTATTGGAGAACGAGGAAGCAGTTGCCGCTAGCTCTCGTACACAATACTCTATATCATGAGTAGCCAACCAGCTCAGTCGAATATCCGCCAAGCGGTAGAGTCTCGCCCTAGTGGGCTAGCTTATAGCCCTTATAGGCCCGAACACGCTCAGTTCCGCTCCTGAGAGCTCCGTCTACATTTCAGGGACTTTTTTGAAACTTTTTTTACTGTCACAATTCTTTCCTCAGGTCTTTCGAGACAACATCAGGTTCAGCGCTAACAATCTCAGAGGGAGGTGAGGGGAGGGTGTCGAAGAATAGGACTTCTGCCTAAGCTCCAAGGGAGACGAGTTTCAAAGCGAGGGATTGGTGAACCATCTGAAGGATAGCGCGAAAACATTTCTATTAGGAAAGGCGTTGTTTCTACTTCTGCACGGGGAGTTTTTTAAATGCCCCCGCCAAGGGTATCAGACCCTCAGCCTCCTAAGCAGT